TTTAAAACTAACAGAAAATTTATTAAAGCAAGGTCGCACTATCGTCGTGGACAACTATTACACCTATGTTGAATTAGCATCGAAACTTCTGGAAAAAAAAGACATATATTTTAGGTACTCTACGAAGCGACAGAAGAACAACTCAAAAAATGTTGTACAAAAAAACTATGACGCGGCGAACATATTGCCGAGGAAAGCAATACAGGAATATTTATAGAGAAATGGAAAGACAGGATAGACCTCCTTATGTTGACAACTAAATATGTTCCTGAAATGGTCACTTAGGCGAGGTCTTACTAAATGAAAGCTTACAATTCTTCTTGGCACCGTGGAGTAAAATGATATAGAAAACTGGCTATCGAATTTATAGCTGGTTCCTGTGTTCTAAACGCTTATTGCTCCATCAAATCATAACTAATGAGAAAATGTATATTACAAAATTCCGAGAAGAAGTGATCAAAGGTCTTCTAAAATCTGCAGATCTTGTAGAAGAAGGGGTCTTGTAGTGGATGCTACGCCAAAATTTCAGAGGAATCAGGGCGCCAAGTTGCCAAAAATAGGACCCCTAAAACCAAGTTTAGATGCAACGTATGTCAAAAACACTTTTGTTTGCAATGTTTTTTTGATTTACATATTTCTGAATTAAAATAAATATTTTTTGCTTAAATTTTAGTTTTAGATTTATTTTTTCCTTCATAATTTTTTATACTTACACAATAACCAACTGATCTCCCATTTTGCTAACATCTCTACAAAAGATTTCCATATAGTTTACATTGAAATGTCGCATCAGTGTTATGCGATGGGGGCGTAAGTGATTTCTGGTCCGTCGGTTTACATTGATCCCCCACGGCCAGAAGGCAATAAAATGCTTATTCAGAATTGGGGATCACGTTGACCCCCATGGCACTTTACGTGTTAAATCGTTTTTTAATATTACATCGTGGTTAACTAAGATATTGACTATTTCTAAGGTATTAAAAATAACCTTTACCGTACTAACTCCTACCGGTTTTATATCTAATACATATTTTTTTAAAGTTTCATCTTGGTAGAGGGGACTCTTGGCTAGCACTGTATTATCAACGAATAGAAGATAAAGATCTACTAGTGACATAATTTAAAACAAGGACACACATAAAAGTATTATTACAGAGAATGAGTATTATTTCCAAAAATATAACATTTTGACTACAAAAAAATCATTCAAACAAAGATGTCGAAGTTTCACAAATTAAGAAAAGATTTTTATGAAGAAGGAGTATGCTTGAAGTTTTCTACAATCTTTTGAATTATAATAATATCTGAAGGTAACCTAAACAAGGGTTTCGGGGGGTAGTGATGCGTCTCAAACAGCCTCTCCTACTCAAATGTAAACCTCACCTTCACGTTGGTGAGCCCTGTTATCACAAATGAGGCTCTGACGACCGAGTATCAGCGATATAACTGTAACACCCGGAATTAAGGAAATGTAATTCCATTAAGAATGAGTGGTGCTGACCCATCTTTTCCGAGGGGTGTTGGCTGAACTGAGTAGGCCGCTAACCTAGGTTACAATGGTGGACACGATACATTCTTATACCCCACCAACCCGTCTGACCAGCGTGGTGGGTTATCGCCAAAACCTCCAAAACCAAACATGTCGATTGCAACACAAACACGGAAGGTACCCCAGGTGGATAGGAATACTATTCCACAGTACCACACCGTAACAAAGGTCTGCCCCGTGGATTCTGAGGGCGCGGAGGGGAGGGCAAGCCGACATTGAAAAAGAAGAAGAACAAACAACTCCATATAGCAACATACAACATCCGCTCCATGGCAAAAGACGAAAAACTCTACGAACTAGAAGAGGAATTGGGACATAATGGGACTGTCAGAAGTTAAAAGAAGAGGTGAAGGATATGTGGACTTACATTCAGGCAACAGACTCTATTATAAAGGCAGGGAAGACTACACATACGGTGGAGTAGGTTTCTTAATCAACAAGAAGGGAAAATCTCAAATTCAAATAATTGACAGCATATCAGACAGGGTTACATACATGGTCTTAAAACTAAAATAAAGATCATGCAAGTGTATGCTCCAACTGAAAAAGCAACCGATGAGGAAATAAATTCTTTTTACGAAGACGTTAAAAAAGCTAAAGACAACAACAAAGAATCCAAAATAATAATAATGGGAGATTTTAACGCCAAAATTGGAAGTAAGATTGAAGACTCTGAAAGCAAGATTGGAAATTTTGGATTCGGCACAAGAAACACAAGAGGAGAAAAACTCATGGAATTCCTGGAACAAGAAAACATGTATGTTATAAATACCTTCTACAAAAAGAAACCTAACAGAAAGTGGACATGGGTCGCACCTAACGGAACTAACAAAAATGAAATAGACTATTTTCTCTCAAACAACAAAGGAATAGTTGAAGACGTCATAACAATAAACAACGTAACAACGGGTAGTGACCATCGTGTAGTCAGAGCAAAAATAAATATTAACATGAAAAAAGAGAAAAAAGGATTAAAAAAAAACAACGAGGATAGATGCCTTTAAACTAAGAACAAATGAAGAGCAATTCCGAGAGGTCTGAGCGGATAAGTTCGAACCTGATCCTTCACATAATCAAGATCAAATTGACGAGATTAATAAAAACCTTCTCGCAGCAGGACTACAGGTCGCAAAGAAAACAAGGAATAAAGAAGACAAAATAAGCAATGAAACTAAACAGCTAATGACGGAAAGAAGACAACTACTAGCGCAAAACAAACGCCATACTCAAGAATATAGAGAACTTAAAAAAACAATTAGAAAAGAACTAAAACGTGACATACAAAAATGGAACGAGAACTTAACAGAGCGAGTCATTGAAAACAACAGAGGCTTAAAATGTCTAAGACCCGCACAAATTAAAGACGCCAACAATAAGGTAGAGAAGGACAAATATAAAATAACAAATATTGTCGAAGACTTCTACACATCCTTCTACAGCTCGCAAGGCTAGCCTAATGAAACAACAAAGGAGAACGTCAAAAGAAAAATAAAAAACGTGGAATCAGAAGTACTACCAAATATAAAGGGATACGAAATAGAAAGAGCTTTAAAAGAACTAAAAAATAATAAAGCTCCAGGACACGACGGTATAATTGCCGAGCTCTTGAAAACAAGCAAGACATTAACAATCCCTGTACTAACAGAGCTATTTAATAGACGTCTCCATAATAGATCCTAGATCTCTAAAGACTGGAACGAGAGTCTAGTAATACTCTTACACAAAAAAGGGGACAAATGTGATCTACAGAATTATAGACCTATATCGTTGCTCAGTCAAGTATACAAACTATTTATGAGAATTATTAATAACCGGTTAACCTACAAAATGGATAATTACCAACCGGTTAAACAGGCTGGCTTCCGCAAAGGATATAGTACATCAGACCATCTGCTGACAATGAGAACATTGATGGAGAAGGCAAATGAATACCAACTACCCGTATTTCTTGCCTTCGTCTACTATGAAAAGGCGTTTGATAGTATCGAGATGTGGGCCATAGAACAAGCTATTAATAATTGTAGAATAGATTCGAGATATAGGCAACTAATACATAATATATATGAAAATGCAACTATGATAGTACAACTAGACAAAACTACAAATCCCATCCAAATTAAGAGAGGAGTGAGACAAGGAGACGTAATATCGCCAAAGCTTTTCAACCTAGCCCTAGAAGACGTCTTCAAAACTACAAATTGGTCAACCTATGGCATTAACGTTAATTGCAATAAGTTAAATCACCTCAGATTCGCTGACGACATAGTGATTATAGCGAGCACATTCGAGGAACTGCAAATTATGTTGGGGGAACTAGCAGCCAGCTCCCAATACGTCGGCTTAAAAATGAACATGAAAAAAAAAACAAAAATAATGACAAACACAGATGACCCCACACATATAACTGTAAACGGCAGTGAGATAGAACAAATCCAGGAATATATCTACCTAGGCCAAATCCTGAGACTTGACAAAGAGAACCAAACTGCGAAAATTACTAGAAGAGCAAGACTAGCATGGGCAGGATTTGGAAAACTTAGTTGGATACTTAAGAACCGCAAAATACCCCAATACTTGAGGAGCAAAGTGTTCAATCAATGCATCCTTCCTATCATGACATATGGATGTCAAACCTGGCCAAGACAAACATGAATAAACTAGCCACAAGAGAAAGAACAATGAAAAGAGCAATGTTAGGTATACGACTGTCAGATAAAAAGAGGAACGACTGGGTAAGATCCAAAACAAAAGTCGAGGACATAACAACAACAAAAATTGCCAAACTTAAATGGAGCTTCGCGGGCCACACTGCTAGACAGAAAGACCAACGTTGGAATACTACAATACAACATTGGAGACCTTACGAAAGTAAACGACCAAGAGGAAGACCACAGATGAGATGGGTTGATGACATTAAAAGAATAGCCGGAACAAATTGGAAATATGTAGCTCAGGATAGAGACCGATGGAAGGAGTTGGGAGAGGCCTATGTCCAAACATGGACGACAGAAGGCTAAGAAGAAGAAGAACCTAAACAAGAATTATAACGAAATGTGATCTTAATTACAGTGTTTTATGACAGTACATGATAAGTCACAACAGGAAGTAAAACAAAATGCAGAAAGCACTAGAAAATTACAATCCATGAGCCCCGAGGTCTAATACGCTGTACTACAGAAACTAAAACTGAGTAATCAGAAAACAAGAAGATCTGCCAGCACGGCAGATCTTATGTAGGCAATATATTTCCACTTCAACAAAGAGCATAGCCGGCTCCAGCTATTAAATTAAATTACTCCAGCGGAAACGACCCCAAGATATATGCTATATAAGAAGATAAATATACTATACAAGAAGATAAAAATTAAGAACTCAAGAAGAATAGTGAACTAAAAAATTGACCTAGTTGGTACGCAAAATTAATACTTTACTATTATCTCTACATAAATACCTGAAGTTCCTTCCGTGGCCTTAGCTTCCTTATCTTTATCCTTATCAGATGCAGTATCAGCAGTTGTAGCCAAAGTTAACGCTGATTTTGTGAGTTGTTCCTTGCTAGCAACACTCGCCAACATGGGTAAGTCCATAACCAGATCGGGTGTATGACTGTGCCTTTGTATATGAGGCTCTGAAAGTCTGTGTGTTTTCAAAATCGGCGACCCAAGTAAAGTAGATTCCAGAATGGCACGTCGTTGCCACAACTCGCGGTTTTCTGAAAAATTCACATTACTCTCATCAATTTCTGCTTGGGGCTGGGGTTGAGCTTGGGGTTGTTCTTTTTCTGCTTTACTTATGTCTTCTTGAGTTTTGTGCGTTGCAGGTGGTTTTTCTGAGTCTTTTGAGGTTGCTGTTGTTTTGGCTTCATCTAAAGGTTCGTTCTTTGTCGGCACTGCAGGCTATAACAAAAATTACCAATCTCATAGCAAGTGTTTGAAGTTAATATTGCTATTTATAGAAGCCTTTTATATAAATTGAATTACATTAAATATTATGAACAAGATAATAAAATATGGCAATTAATGGATTGTGAGAAATATTTGAACCGTCTTAATCACATATGTATATCACCAGAGCCATATCATTGCACATATAGGCCAATTAAGTTAGCTTTTTACCCGACACAAGTGTCTAAACGGTTTTGACAGTTGAAATGTGTAGTATGAGATATTACAAAAAGACTCTTATCTAGGGATTCTTCAATTTTTTAAAGGAACTATTTTTAAATAAAAAATCAAAATATCAAAGCCATTATTTTGCTCATAACTTAAATATATCATTGCCGTTTGTATAATTTACTCCGTGATAGTGCCATTGTCCGGTTGGGCCGACGCTAACGCGGCACTGCTAACGTGACGACATTAGTGCTTTTATAACTGAGCCCTTCTAGATGCTCAATAGAGCAGTAATAAAAAATCAATAGAGGACCAAAAAGAAATAGAATTTCAAATAGGACAATTGTTAATAGCAAATATAATAGAAGAATCATCTTCACCCTTTAAAGCCCCCCGTTACATTGGCTCTTAAAAAAGATGAAGGACGAAGCTGTCAAACTGAAGAAGGCATCTCCAGTTTACCTTCCGAAGATGGTGAAATAACTAGACAAGACATCGCTAGAGTTCTTAGAAACTTAAAGCCTCCTATTCCAAACATTAGACAATCTGAGAAAAAAGCCCTGAAAGAACTTCAGTCAAATCCAAATCTAGTCATTCTTCCCGCCGATAAAGGCAATGTCACCTGTTCGGACTTTTTAATATTTGTTAAGTGGCAACCATATTAACACCGCGCTTGGTTATGCGCATTCATTCCATTTTAGAATTAGTAATAAGTAAGAGTGTACACATATATCTAGACGTGTTCAATTTAATTCTATTTACCAGTGAACCAGCGGAGAAATGAAGATAAACCAATGTTTTCACATTCTATTAACACCACCGTCATCCTAAACACTTCTTATATTAATAAACTCTCAAATCTCATTAATACTTCAGACTACAGACCAATTCCTAATAATCCAAAAAAATATCTGGAGAAAACAACAAAAGCCATTATCAGTAAAACCTCTCTTCCTGTTGATATAAAACAATCTCTAGTTCCTCGGGAAAAGTTTTCCAGAACATCTCGAATATATAGCCTACTTAAAATTCACAAACCCGATTTTCTTCTACGTCCAATTGTCAGTGCATACAATTGCCCTACACAACCATTCACCAAGTATTTGGCCAAAGTCTACAACCTTTCGTCAAAAATGCTTCATCCTTCATCAAAAACTCTTTTCATTTCATCGAACTTCTTAAACAATACCTTATATCACCGTCAGACATTCTAGTAAGTTTCGATATTGTCTCACTCTTTACAAACATTGCTATAGATAAAACTCTAATTCTGAAAACTAAATACAGTATCTAACAAGACCACTTATCTCTCATTAAACATTGTATGTCCAACACATATTTCATCTTCCAAAATCAATTCTAAAGACAAATAAATGGTGTCCTAATTGGCTCCCCACTATCTTCAGTAATTACCAATATCTTTATGGAAGACTTCGAGACCCGAGCACTATCCACATCAATGCTCAAACCCACACGTTGGCTACGATATGCTGACTATACATTCGTCATTTGGCCTCATAGCAGGGATGCTTTGGTGTCTTTTCAAACCCATCTGAGTGGTATACATCCCAGTATCCAGTTCACGATGGAGATAGAAACTGATCCATCCATACCGTTTTTCGACGTTATTATAAAGAAAAACCAATCCCAAGGTTTTCATCACTCTGATTATCGAAAACCCACCCATACCAATCGTTACTTGCGTGATAACTCTCATGATCTCCCTTCACAAATTAATTCAGTCATTAATACGCTTATCTCCAGATCAATACGCCTTTCCGATGATGCAAGGGGACCCGCTGAGCTCTCTAGTTTAAAACAAGCCCTCATCCAAAACGCTTACCGCGAAAACACATCAATAGGAGCATCCACAGACATCAATCTCCCACTCAATCTCAACCCAAAGACTTACACCCTCGTCATAAGAAAGTTTTTCTTCCTTACATCAAAGGTGTCACTGACAAAATTACCCCCCAACAAAAACTTTCATCTTTTGTCCGATCAATCAAAGACAACATTCCAAATGAACAACAGGGAATTTATGAAATTCCTTGTGCAGATTGACCCCGATCCTATATGGGCCAGAGAAATCGTAGTATCCAAAATAGGATTTATGAACATTCCATTTTTGTTTGCAACTCCGACTCAATTTCAGCTCTACGTCAACACCATCTTCATACAGGTCACAAAATTGATTTTGAAAACTGCAGAACCATAGCCCCATCCGCTTCTATAAACCAAAAATTATCCGAGAAGCCATAGAAATTGAAAAAAGGCCAAATTGTCTCAGTAAAAACCATTTAATGACTGCGCGACGTCTAATAAAAACTACGGAAGCAAAAGTAGTAGCTCTACTTAAAAGGAAAGTAAAGATTCTGAAATACCAAACAAATACTGATCAATCTCTCTGATGTGCCACTGATTTAAATTATATGAACTAATGATCCTGCACAAGATTGCCGAATAATGGGAATTTACGCCTGGAAAATCTAAAACAAGCTAGATAACTGCAGAACAAGCAAGAACAGATAACTGGAGTGACAGTAGTTGACCTAATACCTGTCTACGATACCGAGATATAAGGAAAAATATATGATGGAAACATGCATCGAAGTGGACGAATTGCAGAAAAAGCATGATCATTATAATTTACATAAAAAGTGAGAGAATTATCTGGAAAATCACAAACAAACACACCTAAACAATAAACCTATTAATAACCCAATTGAAATAAAATAAGTATGGAATAAACTTATTGAGGATCTTTTCATGGACACAAGAACAGAACCATCAGAAATTGATAGCGAGGAAGCTCTAATAATATTAAAATCTGACGTCCAACATGCTATAAACAACTCAGAATCTGGTAGAGCCCCTGAGCCAGATAAAGCTGATTAAACCTATAGATGAAGATAATTTAAGCGCTATAACTATTCTCTTTAACAACATATACAAATCTGGTGAGACACCTACAGAATGGCTGTTATCGATCTTTGTTCCGGTACCAACAACCAAGAATCACAAACACTGTAATGTGGCCACTTTCTTACATTTCAATAACAATGATAACATGATTGAAAATGACAGCCTGGACATAACAGATTATTCAAAATTAGACCTGTTCTGAGCCAAATCAAAGAACGACTACTTATGGTTCTGAAAGGAGAATTTCTAGCTGTAGACGAACAGCTTATACCAAAAAAGCGCGAAGTCAGCTAAAGCAGTATAAGCCAAAAAAACCACATAAGTGGGGCTTCAAAAAATTTGTACTGAGTGGTATTTCGGGATTCAGCTATAGCTTTAATTTGTTTGCTGGTTCCCTGAGTAATATTGTACCTCTAGGAGTACCAAATCTTAGTATGAGCAGCAACGTGGTTGTCAAATTAGTAGATTCGATACCAAAACATCAACATTACAAGTTGTTTTTTGACAATTGATTCGCCAGCATACCTTTTATGATATATCTAACCAAAGAGGGCATTTTACCTTTGGGAACAGTAAGACTTAATCGTGTTCCTGGAGTTGTGATGCCAGCTGAGAAAGAAATGAAGAAGCGATGCAGAGAAAATAGTCAATATAGACAATGTGGATGTCAGTGTAGTGTCCTGGTTTGATAATAAAATCGTTACTACAATGTCAACATATGCTGGAAGTGAACCAAAGGGAGAAAAAAAGAAGATTTTTCAAACAAGAAAGTGTACATAAAATGGTACCTTGTCCTAACAGTGTCCTAATCTACAACAACTACATGGGAGGTGTAGATCTCCTTGATTCCATGTTAAGATGTTATCGTATAAAAATCAGGTCGAAGAAATATTATTTACGAATATTTTTTCATTTCATTGATATGACAGCCGTGAACTGTTGGTTATTAGCCAAAAGAGCGAAGAAATTTGATTTACCCCCTTTGGATACCAAACTAGCAATAGCTGATGCTCTATGCTAAGCTGGAAAACCAATTAAACAGAACACAGTAGGAAGGCCGTCAAGTAGTAGCATTCAGCAGATGTACGAGAATAAACGAAAAAGGGACCCAATAAAGAAATACCCCAAGAAAACATCCGTAAAGATGGGCTTGATCATTTTCCGATGAGAGCACTAGGTCAAGATGCAAATTTCCAGACTGTACAAGGAAAACATATATAGTGTGCACAAAATGTACAATACTGTGGTGTATTAATAAAGAAAGAAACTGTTATTTGCAGTTTCATACTGTATAGTGTATACTGTAGCTTCAAAATAGTTTGACTTTAATATTACATTGTTGCATGATGTTCCATATTTGGCACCAAAAAATTTTTTTCCTCGTAGCTAGATTTTTTTCATTATTTTTACGTAAAAATAGTATTAAAATTCATCTGAGAATTTATTTTTGACAAAAAACAAAAATTCATGCGGTAAAGGATTGAAAGACAGTATCCCTAATACACAAATCAGAGACATGTGTAAAGTACATTATATCGTCAGATGGGGTCGCCAAAGAAGACGAGAATGGCACCAACACATTACCAGAATGAGAAGAAAGAGACTTGGCGGAATAGTAAGAGATGGAAAACAATAATGTAAAAGACCACAAGGGACATCCCCTAAAAGATGGTGAGATAGCTGCAGTCAACATCGCAAATACAGGCCTTAAGGCCTAACATACAAAGAAGAAGGAGTATACGCTCAAGTACAGGCACGAACTTACAAGTTGGCATTTACTTTATCCGCGACACATGTCGGCATATGCGACGTATATAAAAGTTTTACATTACAAAACGTTAGTCCTAAATTCTAATTAA